TTGAAAACTAAAAATAAATTATTTAAAAAAACAAAATAAATATTCTAGCACTACAAAAGAACTTACAAGGGAATATCAAGAAGAGGATGATCAACAATGTCAAAGACTGCATAAAAGTCAGGAAGAATGAAAACTGAGAAAAAGTCATTAGATTTGGTGATTAAGAGTTCACTAGTGACTTGGTAATGTTTTAGTTGAATGATAAGGTAGGAAGCCAGACTGAGAGTTAAGAAGATAATGAAAGAGAAGAAAGTGGAGGCATCTATTGTAGGTAGCCTCAAGAACTTTTACCATGAAAGAGCTGAGCCGTATAGAATAATAGCACTTGAAGATGGACAGATAGAGAAAATGATGGGGTTCTGAGGACAGAAGAGACATGGGAGTGCTTGTAGACAGTAGGGAAGCAACTTATAGACAGGGAAAAATTGAAGATTAGTGAACTGGAATTAGGTTTAGAGTCAGAGGGGACAATGTATTGAAAAACATAGCATGGACTATGATCACTTATAGAATTATTTTCCCTGTCAAGAAGTAACATCTTTTCATGTTAGACAAGGTTGAACGAAAAGATAGTGGTGCAAGGTATCTTAATGATGTGTGATGAAGAGATGAGAAGGGGAAGTTCTCAGAGAAAAGCCTAAATTTTCTCAGTGAAATGAGAAAAGCAGCTTAACTAAAAGAGTGAGAGTAGGGAGAGCTCTGGGACGTTTGAGGAAGAATGAACAGATTTGCATGGTGGGAATAATCCAAAGCTAGAGTTTGGTGGGGGAATATCAGTAATAAAATAAAAGGCAAATCTTTACACAACATCAGTTCTTCTGCCCCTTTCAGCAGCTAAACAACTTATGTTTTCAGGGGTTGTACCTTAGAAAAGTATGAGGTCGAACTATTTCACAGCTCTACCAACAGTGTGTTAATTTATCTGTTTTCCCACATTACATCCAGCAGTATGAGAGTGACATTCAAACATTTCCCACTCTCCCATTTTCCCCTCTATTGTAAAAGTTTCTCCTTCTGCACCACTTTTTTGTGAGATTATTTCCCCCATCTTCTTCTCCTTTCCCCCTTCTCCCAGTGTATCCCTCTTTCTCACCCTTCCATTCTTCTTTTGAGGTCATCCCAACATAATAGACTCAGGCCCATGCCCTCTATCTAACTATATACCTTCTAACTGTCCTAATGTGGTTTAAGTTCATAGTGGTTGCATGTACCATTATCCCATATAGGAGATTAAAAATTTAACCATGTTAAATCTCTTATGATTTCACACTGTTTACTTTTATATTTTGTTTGAGCCTTGTGTTTTAATGTAAGATTATCTATTCTTCTGTGATCTTTTTATAAGTAATTCATGAAAGTCCTCTATTTTATTAAATGTCAGTTTCCCCCCTATAGTCTCTTTTACCAAGCTGTTAATTCTCTCTTAAAAAAATCTTTTTTGGCAATTACATGTAAAAACAATTTTAACTTTTTTTTTTAAATTTTGAGTACAAATTTTCTCCTTTTCTCCACACTCATTGAAAAGGCAAGCAATTTTATGTGTTATACATGTGAAGTCATACAAAACAAATTTCCATATTGGTCACATTGTGAAAGAAAACACAGAACAAAACAACAAGAAACAGAAAATTAAGTTTTAAAAAAGTATGCTTGGATCTGCTTTGACTCCATCAATCCTTTCTCTGGAGATGTCATGGTCCTCTTCGAGAAAAAAGGACAAACAATGATCTGTGAATTAGGGGACTGGGGACCCAACTGGCCAGTTCCATTTGGGGAACACAGCTCCTTCTTTCTTTCCTTCCTTCTTTCCTTCCTTCCCTCTTTCCATCCCTCCTCCCTTCCCTTTCTCCTCTCCCTTCTTCCTCTCCCTCTGTTCACATGGAAAATCATAGCCTTGCCTGTGGGTGCTCTGCCCAAAGGAATATAAATTTTGATCACTGAAATCTCTCAAGTTATTTTAGGATTTAGGGTTTACAGGCTAAATTTCTCTTTAAGGACTATACCTTAAACCCAAATCACTCTGGCTCTCACTGATTGATCAACAACATGTCCCAGCCTGAGCCTCACTTGGTCATTGTTTGGGCTATGATGGCTCAAAGGGAATGTAAATAGTAATTGTTTTTGTTTTGTCCAGAAACCCTGAGGGTCTCCCTCTCCCAGACTGATTTTGTTTTCTGTTTTTTGTTTTTTTTTTTTGCTTTTTTGACTAGGTAAAAGAGGCCATTCTTTGCCTCATTTTTTTAACCTAGATTTAATCACCAAATGGCATTGCCTCAGTCAAACCAAGACCTGGGAAAGACCTTAGCTTAAAAAGGCCAAGGTCTCCTACTGAATCCAGGACCATCTCCAGTCACCCTGGTGTATATCTTGCCACTGGACCTAGATGACTCTGGTTGGGAGAGTGACACTGTTGACCCTACCTCATTTAAATCCAATACTCTTGCAAGTCATGACATCACCTTCCTGATGTCATAGTCCTCTTTGAGAATGAAGGACAAAACAATGAACAATGGGGTGGCTAGCATTTTGCCTATGTCCTTCAGAATTGCTGAGAATAGCTAAGTCATTCACAATTGATCATCATACAATATTGCTGTTATTGTGTATGCTGTTCTCCTGGTTCTGCTCACTTCATTTTGTATCAGTTCATGTAAATCTTCCCAGATTTTTCTAAAATCATCATGCTCATCTTTTCTTGTAGCAAAATAGCATTCCATCAAAATTATACACCACAACTTATTCAGACATTCTCTGATTGATGGACATCCCTTCAATTTCCAGTCCTTTGCTACTATAAAAAGAACTGCTATAAATATTTGTATACATATAGACCCTTTTCCTTTCTAGAAAAAAATCTTTTTGGGAATAGACCTAGTAGTGTTATTACTGGGTCAAAGGGTCCACACAGTTTTATAGCCCCTTGGGCATCATTCAGAATTTCTCTACAGAATGGTCAAATCAGTTCACAACTCCATCAAGAGTGCATTAGTATCTCAATTTTCCCAGTCCCCTCCAACATTTGTCATTTTCCTTTTCTGCTATATTAGCCAATCTGATAAGTATTAAATGGTATTTTGGAGTTGTTTTAATTTGCATTTCTCTAATCAGTAGTGCTTTAGAGCAGGAGTTATTGACATTAGCCAGATAGTTCTCAGCTGAATGTTTTTCTTACTATGTTATGAAATCATAGTAAATAATACCTTCTAGGGGCCTAGATATATTTCACACCCCAGATCAAATTTATCTGGTCTTGTATAGGTATCTCTGACAAATGCCAGCAGCAGTTTATGCATGATCAAGATATATACAGGAGAAACTGACTGGGAGTAATCAACAGAGGGAAGGGGGATTATGAAATACTTCCTATGGAGGGCAGCATTTTAGCTGGGACTTGAAAGAAGCCAGGGAAGCCAAGAGAGAGAAATGAAGAAGGTGAATGTTCCAGGCATGGAGGACAGCTTGTGAAAATACCTAGAGATGGGAAATGGACTATATTGTGCAAAGAACAATGAGAAGACTACTTTCACTAGAATACAGAGTATTATAGAGGTTCAAGGTGTAAGAAAAGTAGAAAGGAAGGAGTGTAATTCAATTAGCAATTTACTACTGATATGCTACAAAGGGGAGAAAAACCTGTTACTTATGTACTTGCATATTTAAATGTATTTGAGAAGTTTTTGATACAAATAGTGACTATTGGATTTGAGCGCTAGGTCACTCAAATGTTATTGACACTAAATGTTGTTATTTAGATTATTTGTTTTCTGGTTTCTTTACATTGAAAAGAAACCCATTTTAAAAAAGGGTAGGGAATAGGAAGAGATAAGGTAGAACATGCTGAGGAGTTAGGAAATGGAAGGTGGAAATCAAATCAGTGACTTTGTTTCTAATAACATCAGTGTTTGAACTTTGCTTTTGTGAAAGAGGTAAAATAAGTGTTTCATATTCACTCATTTGAATTTATGGAATATGAATTTCCTCTCAATATCATCCAAATGAACAATATTCTCCTCTCAAAAGCTTTCTCCAGGGTTTGTGGGGAGGATTCAATATCCACTGGAAAACAAAATAATTATAAGCATGAAACAATAATGGAAAGCACTCTGAGGAGCCAACTTCCTAGGAACTTTTAATTCCACCTCTCCTTTGTTCCCCATCAGAAAGCAGCCTCAATATATCTGCTTGAGTTAGCTCTTAATTTGCCCTTTGTGGAATCTCTCAGTGCTACTTAAAACGGTAAGAACAAACCCTTTGAGGTGGTTCATAGTCTAAAGTACTTAACTAAAGAACAAATTTAACATGTTCAGCGTAATGGAACTTGACAGTCTCCAAATGGGCTCTCAGAGGTAGGAGTTAACCAGTGATTGTTTTTCTCTTTTGTTTATATTACTTTATATAAATCACCATTACTCTCCATCTTAAATAAATTAGGATAAGTGCAGTTTACTATAGACATTAAGAAGTTTGAGAGGATTTTGAGAGCAGAGCTAGCTAACTGCTTTTATCTCTATAGTAATCTTGCTGTCCTTTTAACTCCTACAGTCCTTATTTCATGATAAATACCAAATGAGTGGTTTTAAGGAGATTACAAATGAATGTACTTTTGTTAGGAAAAACATACTTTATCCTTTTTTTTTTTTTCACCCACAGTACTGACAGACTACTTTGCACTTAGTAGGTGCTCAATAAATGTTTGTTGATTGATTTTCTCCTTGTCTCAATTACACAGAGATGGTAATATGTAAGTTAATGTAGTTAATAACAACTGCAAAAGAAATTATCTCTAATCATTAACATGATTTTGGAATTATGTTCATTTTCACATAAGAATCTTGTTATATTCATGTGAGGGGAAAAAACAGCATGTTGGGAATTAATTTTTTTTCCTATCTTTACTTTGCACATTTTCCATTTCCCCTCTGTACCTCCTTTAAAGAAGTTGAATTATTTACACTTCTGAATATGAATTTATTCAAAATTTCCATTTGTGTTTTTCATAGGGATGATTATCATGAAGATGGGTTTTGTCAGCCCTACAGGGGGATTGCATGTGCACGATTCATTGGAAACAGGACTATTTTTGTAGACTCCCTCCAGATGCAAGGGGAAATTGAAAACCGAATTACAGGTAAGAATTATGTACATTTGCAATAGGATGATAATAATTAGTTCAACTCAACCACATAAGTGCAAACATTGCTAGTTTTATTACCCTTTATGCTTATCAACTTGCAGTCTTTCTATCCTTATGCTAATGATGTGGCAAAAGAATCCTCACTTTTTCTTTTACAATTGAAAATTGAGATGTTTGTGAATATGTTTGGGGGATGAGAGGGAAATGATGCATAAATATACTTGGTGAAATGTGTTTCTTTGACCCTGAATCCTAAAATCAGCAGTTTGTAAATTATATAGATTTTAATTTTGCTTAGCTAATTTAGCCAGAAAGCCTGCTTTCTGGTCAGTACTAATTTCCATTGTTGCTCTTTTTATAGTAGGTCATCCACCCAGCATTGTTAGAGAAATGGTTGCTTTACCTTTTCTCCTTCAGGTGCAGAATCATATTTGTTTCATCAGTAATACAGTTGACATTTAATAAGATTGAATTCTCCTTTCTTCTGCATTTATTCACTATTGCATACCCTCTTAGCTATTTGGGTAAAACATAAACAGGCTTAATTCTTGATATTTCAAGTTTCTTCATTAGACCAAGAAGTTCTATATTCCATATCTATATTTAAGTCTGCTAGGCATCTCAAACTAAGTTTGTCCAAAGCAGAATTAATTATACTTTATTATATACCCCCTTTTTGAATTTTCATTTTCTGAAATGAATTTTCCTATTACTGTTAAAGACATCATTCTCAGCTCCTCAATCTCGCCCCATTTAATTTTGTCATTTTGGCATTAACATCATTTCATACACACACACACACACACACACCCCTCCTTGTATTTACTCAGATACCCCTAGTTCAGACAGTCATTATCTCTCTCTAGAGCTATTGCAAAAGTCATCTGATTATTCCTCTTGCCTTGAGTCTATCTCTCCTCCAAACTGTTCCTCACAAAGATGCCAAAATGATTTTCCTAAAGCATTGGTCTGACTGTCAGCTCTCTGTTCCCCTTCCCTTTCCCCCCTTCAGTGTTTCTCCATTACCTCCAGAATAAAATATAAGCCTTTGGGTATTTAAAGCTCTTTATGTCCTGGTCCCTTCCTACTTTTCAATTCTTCTTTTATTTTACTCTGCTCCAAGCATTCTGTTGTCCAACCTTCCTAACCTTCTTGTAGCTCCTCATATGTAACAATTCATCTCTTATTCCCCGTGCATTTGCGTTGGCTGTCCCTCATGCCTAGAATTTGTTTCCTTCTCACCTCTGCCCCTTAGAATGCCTGGATTCTTTCAAGACTTAGATAAAATGCCACATTCAGCAAAAGGAAACCTTTTTTATTCTCCATAGCTATTAGAGCCTTCCCCTCTAAGATTACCTTCCATCAGCTCTGTAAGTATCTTGTATGTACCTATTAATGTATATGGCATCTCCTGAACTAGAAGCTCCTTAAGAACAAGTACTGGTTTTGGTCTTTCTTTGTATTTCCAATGCTTAGTGTAGTGCCTAGGATATGATAAGCATTTAAAGTTTAAAATTAACCTTTCAGATTTAAGAGTGGGAAAGAGTTCATGACCAAAAAAAAAATATAGAGAATCACAGAATATAAAATGGACAATTACATAAATTACATAAAATTTAAATTACATAATTTGCATAATTACATAAAATTTAAAAGTTTTTGTATAAAGCCAATCCAGTTAAAATTAGAATGGAAATAGTTGATTGGTGTGAACATCAGGTTTCTCTGATAAAGGTGTCATGTCCAAATTTTAAAAGGAGTTGACTCAAATTTATAAGAATAAGAGCCATTCTCCAGTTCATAAATGGCCAAAGGATATAAAGTTAGTTTCCTAAGGAAGAAATCCAAGCTATTAATAGCCATATAAAAAGCCTCAAAATCACTAATAATTAGAGAAATATATATTAAAACAACTCCAAGATTCCATCTCACACCTATCAGATTACCAAAGTTAATTAAAAAAAGGGAAATGACAAATCTTGAAGGGAGTCAGGGAAACAGACGTATATTGTTGTTAGAATTATGAATTAGTCTTGGTCCAGCCACATGCCCCAAAAGTCATTAAATTGTGCATACCCTTGGACTCATTGCAACCACTACAAAGATTATACCCTAAAGAAACTTTTGAAAGAAGAAAAGCAACCCTGTATTCATAAATGTTTATAGCAGCTCTTTTGATAGTAGTAAAGAATAGGAAACAAAGAACGGGGAAAAAACTACACATCAATTGGAGAAGGTTGAATAAGTTATAGTTAATGAATGTAATAGAATATTAGGCTGTTAAAATTGGTGAAATGAACATTTTCACAAAAATCTGAGATTTATATGAACTGAAGAAAACCAAGAAAACAATTTAAGTAACAGTAGCAATAATGTAAAGAAAAACAATTTTGAGAGATTTAAGAACTCTGATAAATTTATTGATGCACTGAGATTTCTGAGGACTAATGTTGAAGAATGCAACCCATCTCATCACAAATGGATTTAAGGTGCAGACTGAGACATATATTTTTGGATATGTTCAATGTAGGAATATCTTTTGCTTGACTTTGCATGTTTGTCAGGGTTTTGTCCTTGTTTTGCTCTCTATTTTGTTTTTCTTCTCTTTTTTTTTAGTGGAAGATAGCAGGAAGAGAAAATAAATACTCAATTGAAAAAATAAAATAAGGAGAAAATATATAATTAATACCACACATTAATTCAAAACTGTCCTGTTTGTACCTCCTTCTACACTCAAAACTCTTTCAAGAATGAGGTCAGCTGCATACCCCCCTCAGTTCTGTGAGTATACCTGAGGAGCACAATAGTATCATTGACTCAAGCACCCATTCTAGTGTGTTCTACTCACTCTTAGTTACCATTGATTCGATCTTCAGTTCCATTTAACCAATTAAATCAATTAGCTTTTACAAAAGGTTATTTTACAAGAAGATGTTGTAAAAACAGAAGTACAACTGCTTCTCTACATGGGGAAACATTTGCCCTATACCCACTTTATTCCTGTGGAGAGTGGGTTCAAAGTTTAAGACAGTTTCTTTTTTAGCATTCATCCCACCAGGTTCACTGTCAAATTGTATCACAGTTACTGGATAAGTCCTCATTTTACCTACATTTTGGCTGTATCATTTAAATCATCCCAAGGGGCTCTGCTATTGAGCTAGATTCACAAGGTCATTCTGCAGAACCTCATTGGTGGGCTGGCTGGTTGCAAAATCTGAAACATGCCCTGGCTCCTAGACTTTTAAGTGACTAGCAGTTCTAACCTGTTGAAACTCACAAGATTGTTGCTGAATCAATACTTTTTCACCTAAAATCATGACAAAACAAATGCAATGAGCAAAGAACAGAGGCCCATATTCAAGTACCACATATTGTTCTTAGATTGAGAGGCCCCACACATTATCTCTGTCTTACCAGAACTTAGCTAGTCAAGAAAAAGCCAAACCAAGACCCAGCGACTCTTTTGTCTGAGAACTTTTTGAATGCATCTCAGTTCTGGTTATGCAGCCAGCCAAAAGTGCATCTCTTCAAGTCATCAGCTGATTGGAACTAGTTGACAAGGTGCCTTTGGCATCCATCCAGGATGCCTTTCCAGAGTGAGGCTCCCTATTGTCATACACATGACAATTGCCTACCATCATTCTTCTCTTCTGTGCATTTAAAAAATGCTTATTGCTCCAGTTTATTTTCTGAAATCAGTATTACTTACCCGCCCACCACTTTCACTGTTCTCCCCTTAATTAAAAAACTGAAAAGTGAAAAAAACCTTCTAACAAATAAAAATAGTCAAACACAACAAATCCACACAGTGTCCATGTCCAAAAACATATGTCTCTGCATCTTGAGTACATCCTCACTCTGGCCAAGAGGTAACAGGCTTCTTCTTAGGTCCTCTGGAGACACAGTTGGTGAGTAAAATGATCAGACTGCTTAAATCCTACAAAGTTGTTTTTCTTTACAATGTTCTTGCCCTCGTGTGAATTGTTCCCCTAATTATGTTTATTTCACTCTGAATCAGTACTTACTATCCAGGATTCTATGCAATCATCTCTTTTGCAATTCCTTATAGCTCATTAATATGCCATTACATTCATATACCATAACTTGCTCAGGTATTCTTCCAATTAATGGACACTCTCTTCACACTGTAGTTCTTTTCTTTTTTTTCATTTTAAGATCTCTGTTTGGGATCAGAAAATGTGTTTTGCTTGTGACTATTCCCTCTATTATCCTCCCTCTTAACTTCCCCCAACCATGTTTGTTTATACAGACAAGTTTCACATTGAGGTTCATGTGAAGCCCACACCTTCATGCTTATACACTCATCTTCTCATGCATCCCATTTATAAAAAGTGGCAAATTCCTCTTGTATTTCTCTTTTTATACACTAGTGTATTACTTTTGCTATCCTTTCTCTTTCCCTTTCTCAAGCCCTCTGAAGAGAACCCTGTAGGACAATATTCAGTTTTGTAAGGTAAGTTATTCTTGGTTATAAGTCTGGATCTTTTGATTTTCCCTTTATATCAAATTAGATAATATTGGTAACATGCTTAGTACAGTGCCTTGCACATAGTAGGTTCTACATAAATGCCTGCACCCTTCCCTTCACCATTATATTTTTGTTATAATCCAAGATCTTCTCTGTTTCCTGGTAGAGGCTGGTAGGTCTTAAATGACCCTCATTATAATTCCTTGGTCATTGAACTGTTTCTTTCTGAAGGCTTGAAGTATATTCTCTTTAATGCAGGAGTTCTAAATTTTGTCTACAATGTTCCTGGAACTTTTCCTTTTGGAATTTCTTTCTTAAAAAAAAAAGACATACATTTTTTAGCAATGATTTTTTTTATTTTGAGTTCCAAACTCTCTCCCTCCTTCCAGGACCTTCTCAAACAACTGAGAAGGCAAGAAATAGGATATCACTTATATATGTGGAATCATGCAAAACATATTGCCATACTAGCTACGTTGCAAAAAAATCAGGAAGAATAAAGTGA